TCCCAGCTCCAGCAGGATCTCCCAGCTGCCTGCCTCGCCCAGCGCTGACCTATAGGCATTTTTGCTGTGGCTGTCTCAGGCTTTTTATAGTTTTTGCACACTTGTTGCATATAAGATACCTTACAGGTGTGGACCTTCACTGAAGCATTAGCTGGCTGTTTGGAGAGGGCTTGAGGGTATTTTTTTCCTGGACTCTTGCTTTTCTTCAGAAGCATTTCAAAAATGAGGGAAACTTACTGGATTCAGACTGAATTTGTGCCGCAGCATTTCACAGCGAGCTCAGCAGAGATTAGTCTGAACTGTCTCACAGTGTGCTCCTCGGATGAGAGGGCAGGCACATGTCAGAAATGGTGAGTGGCTCTGAGTGCAGGTGCAGCACTGCCAGTGCAGGGCACTTGCAGGGGTCATCCAACCATGTGGCAGGAACTGTGCCAGTGTTGCAGCCAGGGGATTTCTTACTCTGCTCCTTGCCCTGGCCAAAATGCCTGAGTAAGTTCAAGTTTTACCACTTGCAGACTGTGATTGCTGTTTGCAAGGGAAGTGTTTGCTGTTGTACTGACCTGTTCCTGAGTTACTTTAACACAGCAATAGCTTTGAACAGGTATCCAGTGCATAGCAAAGCTCCTGCTGGGATAATGCCAGCTTCTGGGTCAGGGCCCTCTTCCCTGCAGCTCTTACTCTTTGCCCACCAATATTGTAGTGGGGATTTTGGGGTTTTATTTCAGGTCACTCATAAAACTGAATAGCAGTTTCATCTTAGCCCTAACTGGCCAAATATTTTGGCTCCTGCTGTTTCCAGTACAGTTGGTGTCCTTCAGGGGACTGTCCCTGCCTTCACTGCTTCAGTTCAACCTGAGAGCACATGCTTAGGAGAAATAAAAGATACCAACTGGGAAGGCCAAGCTGATGAGAAAAAGTGCCCTAGGGAGGGCCACACAGAGGCCAGTTCCCAAAGGATACTGGCGTGGTCTGTGCTGCAAGACTGCTCTGGGACTGGAACCGTGGTGGCCATGTGGTCTCTGAGAAGGAGACCACCAAGACTGAGTCACTCAGAAGTGTCCCTGTGAGCTCAGTGCTGTGGGGCACAGCTGTGTGTCCCTAGGCCAATAGAAATAGGCTTATCCCTTTGCCATTAACCTTTAGTGTTTGTAACAGGTAATAGATGCATGATACGGTGTCCTCAAATGTAACAGGAGGTCTTCAAGTTGTGAACAACAGGTCCTCATTTTTAGTTATTTACTTTCTCCAAATTGCATATCTTGTGCTGTACTGTATGTCCCGTTTCCTTTACTTTCCAGGTTGTGTGAAGAGCCTTAGGCAAAGAAAATGGAACTTCACTGGTGTGGTGTGGTAATACACCATTTATGTGGCATTGGAGCTGTGCTAGGGACAGCTTCAACAAATGTTCAGCTTCTTCAGATTGTCTTGGAAATGAGAATAGAAATGGAAATTTAATCCTCATTCACTTTATTGTGGTTTTAGAAGCTACTTGAGTACCTACTTGCACCAAAATGCTATGTTTTGGTGGGTGGATGAAGTATAATTTCTGTACTGAAATACCAAAGAACTTCACATAGGATAGTGCATAATTATGTAATTGTCTCATCGAAGGCATGTGGACTGATTGGGTTTTGCAGATTTTCGGGCTGTGCTGAGGAGAAAAGACACTCTATGGACCCTGCCTGTATTAGGTATAAATGGCACCAGTGTGCCAGGAAGAGCTGGTTGTGGGCTTGGTCAGCAAGTGCTCAGCAAGCCATGGGGAATGGCATTCCCCCTGCATGGAGGTCATGTTGACCAAGATCGGATCTCTGTCAGTCTCTCAAGTGTTTCTGCAGCTGTATGCATTGTCTTTGGAGGATTTGGGGAGACAAGTGTAGTAGGGATGCCATGTTTGTGGGAGGAGGAAGCCAGTGGGTAAAGACTGGGAAGCAGTAGAAGCAGTCTGGTCAGCAGAGTTTTGTACCTCAGAGTGAGGTAGGATTTGGCCATAGTTCACAGCCCTGGAAGGCAGCAGTAGATGGTGGAAGGGGCTTTGGCAATATCCTGAGCACAGATGTCCCCAGGGCAAAGGGTGCAGGACAGTGTCCATGGGACTGGGTGTGGTGCCTAGGGCCAATCCCTTACTGCAGCAGGGGATGGGAGAGTTGAGAGGGTGGCAAGAGGGGCAAACAGGTGTCTGCATATGAGGTCTTGGTCTCCTGCCCTGAACCCTCTCTGTGAGGAAGGCCCAGATAACCCGTCTAGGTTGCCTTGTAGGGCAGGTGCTGTGGCAGAACCACTTCAAGTCCATAGGCCTTTTGGAAAATATGTTATCAGGCCTTTCTCCTCCTGGTTTCATCGTGCATGTGTCACCCTGTGTGTCCTCCTGCTGTCAATCTCTGTGGCCACCTCAGTGGGACCAGAGGGAATGGGGAGGCTCAGTCTGTGCCCAGCGAGCCCCCGCCTGTTGTCTCGCCAGGACAACCAGCAGGATTTAGCTGCCAGAGATCCCCAGGTCTTCCCAAAGCAGTGTGGGGCAGGCAGTCTGTGAAGCTTTGCATTATTGCTATTTTTTATTGTTACTTTTTTCCTCCCACTTTCTGGCTCTGCAGACCCCCAAATGCTCTTAATGGAGATATGGCCCGTTTATATGTTAATTTTAAGCCCACTGACAAGCGGTTTGCTTTTCTCCTGACTTCTCACGGTTCCTTTGCCCGTTGAAAGCCGCTGCCATGGGCTTAGGGGATAAGATGCTGAGAATTAGAAAATAAAATAAAATCTGCAGGATGCTGGAGAATGAGGGGGTACAGGGATTGGCATGCTCCAAGTATAAATGGTGATTTCTAAAAGCAAGGAACCCTGATACCAGGGGCATGCATGACAATTACATCCAGTACAATACAAAATGTTAATTACTAAATTTTGAGAAATTAATGCTGATTAGCAGCTGTGTGCGTGTGTGACCTAAATACATCTATTGCTTATCTTTATTCATAATATAGTTTACTGTTGATAAAGTAATGGCTGAATGGTGGGCTGGCCCATGAGTCTCATAGCTAAAGACTGAGGCCCGATTTGTAAATTGTCTGAAATTTGTTGGCATCTGTTTTTTGTGGAATTTATACGGATGGGGAAGATGAATAGCAGTCTGAGCTATCCCCTTTACAACTCAACTCAAAGATATTATTGAGAATTCATATGGCTTTTATTATTTGGTCACAAAAATGGACCTAATGCTTGTTGGCTTTAAAACACCTACTAGCGCTGCTTTCTCTCTCCATCTTGCAAAATATAAGACAAGGCCGAAGCTTAAATTAAAATCCTCAGGTTCTTATCTCTTTCCCACAGGAAAGCAAATCTGTGTTGAAAACCGTAAAATTAAGAGGAGAGCAAGGATAGCATAATTTAGCAAAAATTCATGGCACCAGATTCTGAGCTATATGACTGGAGGGATAGGTCAGACATTAAGAAGATACTGCCTGCTAATGCAAGTTCCTTAAGGTGGTGCTCTGGAAACAAGGAAAGCAGAAAATGCTGCATTGGCTCCCGATTGCTCCCTTTCCTCTACTCCTACCAGCCTTAACAATAAATTGAGTTGTCCATTTAATAACTCGTCTGTTTCCAGAAGTTCAGAAAAATCATGGACTCGTGCATGAAGCTATGTCCTAATATCTGCTTTGTGCCAGAATTTTAATAGTGACCTCAATGAAAATTAATTTCATTGGCCTTTTAAATTACTATTTTTTTTCCTATAAGGACAGGCTATCTTTGCTGTCAGTGTGTCTGTCTGGAGGATAGCTTTATATTTTTGGGGAATTTTATTAAAAACCTGTTTGTTCATAATTATTTGTGCTAAGGGGCAAGGTAGAGCGGCAGGGCACAAATGAGGAGTGCCTGTCACATGCTGGCATCATCACTGCAGCTCGTCCCACCGTGAAAAGAGCAACTTGAGTTTCAAGCAGCATTAATAATGCAGGATTTCATTGGGATTGAGGAGTTCCATTGTCTTGCAACGTTGATCTTAGGGGGTAATTTTGGACAGCATCCTTCTGTTGTGTTGCCTGCCTCCTCCTGTGTGCCTCTGCACTCTGGGAGGTGCTGATGGGAAGTGTGCATCTTGCCCTGCAGGGACATCACCTTATGGCACTCATTTCAGGACCCTTGTGGGTGTTTGTAGCGCTTTGAGTTCTCCTTGATAGAGTCGGAGGCCTTCCAGCTGTGCCGTGCGCTCAGCACGTCTCCCCTCTCACTGACCATCTTGAGAGGCCACTGCCAACTGTTCACATATGAAATCAGTTTTCTAAGGGTGACCCTTCAGTTACCCAGTAGACAGACCAGAGTTTTCAACCAGAGTTTGTAAAAGGGACAAACTTGCTGTTCCTCTGGTGATGGTGGGGGTTTGTCCCAGCTGTGCCATGTCAATGGCCATGCAGGAAGAGCAGTGGGGAGGAAGAAGGAAGCTGATGAAGCTTGTGTTGCTTTTAAGGCTGGAGATATGGCAAACCTGTACTTTAAGCCTTCTTTTTTTAAATGCTATTCCCCTAACCAAAGGGTTTCTCCAGCACTACTGCTGACTCTGCTGTCCTTAGGTCACAGCCCTTCATGCACAGTGCCTGCCTGCGCAGCACGTTGCTCTTCCTGCCCTGCACCTCTCCATGTGCCATTTCCGCAGCCCTGTCTCAATGTCTCCCAAATGACTTTCTTCGTGCTCCTGGCCCCCACCCATTTCCCTGCATTTCCTCAATATCTGCATCCCTTTTCGGGTGCCAGTGGTTTGAGGATGCCGATTCTGGCAGCAAACCTGCTTTCCATCCACTAGCCCCAATGTCATGTCTGTCCATCTGTTTCCCTTGCTTCAGTACTGCAAATATTTTAAAATAGCATCTTGGGAATATTGGGGTTTTTTTTCGTTTGGGTTTGTTTTGGTTTTTTTTTTTTTGTTGTTGGTTTTTTTTTTTTTTTGCAAAGCAGAAGCCTCACCTCACTAGCACAATTTAATTTTTGTTCTTCTTTTGCAGTCCAACAAGGTGCCCGTGGTACAGCCTTCTCATGCGGTTCACCCCCTCACCCCTCTTATCACCTACAGCGATGAGCACTTTTCCCCGGGGTCACACCCGTCTCACGTCCCCTCTGACGTCAGCTCCAAACAAGGTGAGCCCATCCTTTCCCAGCACAGTGGGGATGCAGGGTGGCCCTGGTGCCCTTTGTGCTGCTGACAGAGCCAATATTACCAATTTGTAATATTTTAGAGGGAGGCTTCCAGGTGCGTATGTCCACTTTCAGAGATGATAATTCTGCCATGATGCTGATACTTAACTTGGCTGCTTAAATTTTTATGCTCCTTCTAATGTGAAACTTTGGTCTTGCTTTTCTCATCAAAGTCTTTCAAAATCTCAGTAAACAGAAGCCAGTCTTCACCATCTCCTGTGGTGCCCCAGGCTTCCAACGTGCAAATACAGAAAGGGCAACCATCCCTTACCTTCTCAAAAACAGGGAGCATGTGCTTCAGTAGTGGTGTTATTGAAAGCTTTTTTTTCACTTTTTTTATGTCCTTGTATTCTGGCTGTCCATATTCTTCTATATATCAGTTGGCATAATCAAGGAGTAGCCCATAAAAATAGTTTTGAGCCTGTGGAAGTAAAAGCTTTACAAATCTGATGTTTTTTAACCTTCTTGTGCTGGCTGCCTTCTGCATAAAGCGTCTTTTTAGATGTCTGAGCCATGGATGTCAGTTTTCTCTTCACCTTCAGGACCCCTTAAGGCTAACACAAAACCCTCCTAGGTCCACGTCTGGGAATGTCAGAGCAGCGCAGGGTCAGTCTGCAGGCCCCCAGGGAAGTCTCCAAGTCTCCAAGGTGTCAATCCCAGCCTGTATCAAGAGCTGCTGCACAGTGCCCAGGAGAACATAAGAGATTCCTGGGAAGGGTGTGCTTGCTTGCAATGGGTTGCAAGAGGGATATGATGGAAGTTGGGGAGGTGCCAGGGGAGGACTGGCTATGGCCATCATGGGTCTGAGACAGGGTTTGAGTAAGAACCTGAGCAGAAAAAGCCTGCATGGGAGAGCTGGTGGTGAGGAGGGAAAGAGGGAGCAGAGGCTTTACAAAGGCATTCACTGTAGTCTGGATATCTCTGCATGAGCAGGAGATATGTAAATGCCATGACTAGTCCTGGAGGATGCCTCTCCCTGCCTCTCTCTGCGCTCATGTGTCCCACTGTGCTGTGGCACCCATTTGAGAAAATCCTGAAGCTCTGCTTTACCTGGGCACACATCCATGTGCAGAGTTGTCCCATTTATCTGAAGAGGCTTTTAGTCATCATTGTTTAGGGAGAGAGACTTCTTTTGTTCTGTCCTTCCCTGAATGCCTAGGTTTTATTTTGGCTGTGCTATGGAGATAATAACATGAGCTACATCCAGAAAATGCTATGGCTTGGTGGCTCTCTGTGGTTTTTGCTGTTTGTTGGTTAGGTTTTGTTTTTTTCTAGGGAGGGGGAATACTAAAAGCATTCTGCCTGGTCTGTAAATATGTATACAATATCTTTTTCAGACTTGGAAGAAGCAAATGGAGACCTCCTGTCCTCATTTGTCTTCCCTCCTTTGCATCAGTGCCCAGGAGAAGGATATTCACACTCATTCCTTGAAATCCCAGGGGTGCCATGCGATAAGAGAATGGGATTTCCACCTCTTGCAGAAGCTGGCTGTGACAGCTGGGGCACAACCCGCTGCTGCAGTTTGTGAGCTTAAGAGGTTTCTGCTTACTGAATATTGAGTTTGCCCTTCTGTACCCCATCTTTTTGCCTTTGCCCCAGTTTATTTTTGTATTCCTGTACAGCAGACTCCAACTGAACAACATCTGGTTTGTTGGCTTTTTGTTTCTGCTGTACATCCTCTCTTCTGCTTCTTCTCTACCCTCTCCCTTGTCCAGCATCCACCAGTCACGAGTTCAAGCCTGCTGAGGGCCTCTGCCAGGAGGCACAAATCTCATTGCCCTCTGGAGTTCCTGAACAGGCTCTTGATCCCTTTGCTCAGTGTCTGGCAATGATGGGGATGGATGATGTGGATAATACAGGCTGGAGACTACTGGTTTTGTCTGGGATGGTCTCCTTGATGTGTGTGGTCTTTCTGTCCATACTCCATGTTTCGGCGCCACCGGCATGTGGGAGCAGCCGCAGTGAAGTAGCCCATGCAATTGCTGCAAAGAGAGGATTTTTTTTTTCCTCAGGTCCTCTGCCAAACGCCTCCAACCATTGTTTCTGTCCTCGCCTCCCACTGTGGGTCTGGAATAAGGCACTGCCCTGGCGCCCTAGCCCTGGTGCCCTCCTCCCACCAAAATCCTCCAACAAGGCGGTCCACAGCTTGCCCTCAGCACTGCCTCTTGTACACAAGGCACTTTGGGATGGACACACAGCACTAACTTCCTAAAGGCAGTCACTTCTTTATTTTATTTCTTTAATTTTTTTTTTTCTTTCTTAACCCTCTCAAGAGAATCAAGAGAACTTGCTTTGGAGGGTGCTGGCCATATGGTAGCTCTGTGTGCTCCTGTGGGTGCTAGGTGCTGGTAGCCCTCTATAAGGGGCCAGAAGTTTTGGATTAGCAATAACAACTGTGCATTAGTTAAGAGAGAGTAGTGTTGTCTCCATGAGTCAGAACTGCAGATTCTGGGGAAGGAATGACCCAGTTCCTTTTGCAGAACTTGGTCTGGCTGGGGCAAGGTCATGTCATCACTTCCAGGAGCATCAGTCATCATCAGAGACGTGAGAGATGAGACGCTGGGCTGCTTTTACACCTTGTTTGGTTTTCTTTTTTTTTAACCACTCAGAAAGAGTGCTCCCTCTCATGTAAAAGCCCTGGGATATGTAAAGTGTTTTATTTCCTGTCAGCTACCAGCTGTTTTACACCTTTGTAAAGACAGCTGGCCAGAAATTTGATCACTTAGGTTGTGGTTCCAAGTCTGAAAATTCAGTTTTTTTGAGACAATGACACCACTGGTATTATTTTCCATGCTTTCTTGTACATGGTTCTGAAAGATATTCTTCAAATCTTGTAATTAAATTCAGAAGATTTAAGTACAAACTGGGCAGGGGAATCAGTCTATAAACTAAGTCTCAAGGTATCACACGTTCAGTCTTTGGAGTGTCACCACATAAATATTTAATACCCTTTTAAAGCAGCTGATTTAACATGTGAAGTAGACTTAACAATTTCTTCTGCTTCACCCCCTCTTCCCCAAACACATTTAAATAAACCAATGTCTTTGTGGCCTCTGTAACTGTAATTCCATGTCTCCTGGGGGCACAAGGTTTAGGTGAAGAATGGAGACCACATACCCTTTTGGGAGGAGGATTAGCTTTAATCTTGAGGTGATTCTTGCAGTTGTAGGACTCTGTATTCTGGGGAATGTGAGCTGATGGATCATTCCTGATGGGACTCTTATTTTTCCATGAAATACTACCATTGCAAAACAGATTGACCTTGGAGCCCACAAGAGTCAACTTGATGAAGAGCTTAGTTGGAACTGGAGTGACAATTGGAAGCCAAATGAATCATATCAAGTGTGACCATTACAGGCCTGAAAATGATTCTTAATTAACCACTGATCCTCTGTGGTAGCAAGTTTGCAAAATCTGTGAATCCATAAGGGAACCTGTGAAAATACGAAAGTGGCAATTTACCTAATCTAATAGCTCTGCTGTGCTGCCTCTTTGACAACACTGTATTTTCCCCTTGCTTCATGATGTGTTAGAAGAGGTCCTCATGATCCTGTTGGGTTTGGTGAGACCATTGAGAGGACAGTAGCATCTAATGCACTTCACAGGAGATCTAAACTTGCACAGGTCCTTACCCATGCATTTATTTCCTTCTTCCATTTTTCCATTTTTTTTCCTTTTGTTTCTTCCATTTGTTTTTTTCTGGTATCTCCCTTTGAATTGCAGTATTGTGTGCAAATTATTTTAAAGGTGGCCCATGGAGCCTTTTGCTTTTAACACTAACCAAGAAGGTTGTTATTCCTTATCCACAGTACTAGTTCCACTATAGTATCAGCTGGGAACTGTAGGTCATATATTTTGAGGGGAAATCACTCATTCTTCTGTGCTTTTTAACAGGCATGTCCAGACATCCTCCAGCTCCTGATCTCCCTACCTTCTATCCCTTGTCTCCAGGGGGGGTTGGACAGATAACACCACCTCTTGGCTGGTAAGATTTTTTTAGCTTCTTTTCAGACAGGCGCGTGTTCACACCATTCGCTATTGTTCCATCTTTTGCAGCAATTACAAAATAATAATAATGTCATCCCAGTAAGAAATTGCTACTTTATTTTAGTTGAAAAGATGAAAAAAATGTTTATCTTTGAAATTAAACGAATCTGTTCTTTGAACACAGTAGAGGAACTGAAGTGTGTAGATTACATTTTGAAGTCTGTATGTTTCTTATGGCTCAGATTTGTGGCTCTTAGCTTTTGGAAAGATAGCAGAAAATACTTCTCAAGTAATTAAATGTAAATTTTAATAAAATGGCAATTACTGAGGAGAGGGGAGGTAAGAAAGAACTTTGAAGTGGGGAGGGTGGGGGGAAATCTTAAAACTGCCCCAAATGGAGAACAAACTTTTGTAGCTTGCTGCTTTTTACAGTTTCTGTATGGAGAGAAGCCTCTGTCACTGGAAGATCTTGCTGCTCTTGCTAATACTAGCACTCTCATGATCTCTTGCTGCCACTCAGGGTGTCATTTTCCTTTTGGAGGGAATGTGGCATTTTTGGAGGAATAGATTTGCCAGGGTGCTTCATGTGTCCTTGGGGTAGATATGTACTTGCCTTCAGTTCTCTGGAGCAGGGAATAAGGCAATTTGGCCACAATTTCAGTGCTTTAGAATCTGTATTGTGACTAGTCTATGCCCACACAATGAGGGATGCAGACTTTTTAATTTTTTAATATCTCCATGGGAGGGAAACATGATCCAGATGACAACAGGCAGAGAAAGTACAGAGCAGAAGCTGGTGAAATGTTGTATTACTGGCATATCTTTCAGGAAAGGCCTCATGCCTTTTTGGAACAAATAATTAGTAGATATCAAACTAGAATATGGAAGTATCTGACCATCTATTTTTTAAGTCTTTCCCTCCTTCCCCTTCCTCATTTTGCTGCTTAGCTGACTCCTCACCTCCTTTGCCACCAGGCAGTTGCTAGCATGCATTTTCCAGATGCGGTCACTCCTTTCTTCTGAATGGTTTCTTGGTGCAGAAACTGGGGGGAGGGAAGAAGGCAAAAAGAAAGAAGAGGGAGACAAGATCCAACCTTACAAGGCTCGGGGATGTGTTCAGCAGCACTCACCAGCAGCGGGACATACTCAACTGGCCCTTATGCTATGGCTCCCTGCTGTGAGGTAGCACTGTCGAGACTTCCTTCAACTTTTTTTTTTTTTTTAATTTCCTCTTCCCTTTCATTTCCAGTAATATGCAGCACTGTTCATTTCCAGTTATATGCTGCAAGAGTGAAAACCTGTGTCCTGAACCTTACAAAGGCCAGGTTCCATTTTTTCTCATCTGAGAGTTGATTGATTTACCAGTTGATAAGCAGCTGTTTGAACAGGATTGATGTGTATGGTGTCTCTCTGGTTGGTAGAGGTTTTTGGGCTGATACTTGCTCACATTACCATCACATGCTACGTCAGGGTGCTCATTGTAGTCATGACTGAACAATCACGGTCTGAAATTAATCAAAATGTGATAATGTTAAAAATTAAAGACCTCAAATGATGGACTGGTAGCAAAATGTTCTGTATATATGAGAGTGTAAAAGAGGCAAAAACTTCACACAAGCTTCTCTTATTGGACTGCAAAGTTTGATCATTAACTAGTAAGATAGGCTAATGCCACTGTAGGCTTTTACGTGGTTAAGTTGGGGTTTTTTTATGGAATCAGTTTCTACTTAGAAAAGCTGTCCACTTGTGCTTCACTATAGCATATGCTAATGGAGGGAGTCCTAAGTTTTCAAAGACTTAATAAAACTGTTCAAAAAGCTTTCTAGCTTAATAATTCACCATCTGATGTTCTCACTCTGATCTACAGTAGAATTGTTCGGAATAAGATGCTTTTTTCCTAGGAGCTTGTTTAATAAATCTGATTCCAGTGCTTTTAAAACTAGGTGAGAGAGGGATGGAGATAGAGGAGTGTGCATGTGTATGTGTGCCCTGGGGGAGGAAGGCTGGTTGTTTTGGTTTCCCTCCCAGTGGAAACTTTGAATAGCAAGGAAGAAAGTTCAGAGCATTTAAGTATTCATTAGTTTCATTAGCAGAACTCTTGAAAGTGTTAGCTCTAACTATTTACTTGTGACTAGTACTGAGTTCCCATCAAGAGCTTGTAACTCTAGAATAACCACTGAATACCATATCATATGATTGATGGGTTCCTTTCTTCTGTGACCTCAGGCAAGGTCAGCCTGTATATCCCATCTCGAGTGGATTCAGGCAGCCCTATCCATCCTCACTCTCAGTCGACCCTTCCATGTCCAGGTAGGTGTAGGAGGTGAATGACTGACTGGGGAGTAACTGCTGGCATTAGAGGGCAAGTTGCTCTTCTGCTTGCATCTTGGTCTGCCTTTGCTTGCTTTTCAGTCAGCTAAACCCTTATGCATACATTTTTATTTAACTTCTGTGTATATATGCAGTTTGCCTGGATCCCACACTGGTCTCATTCAGCATTTTCTTGTCAGTCTCTGAAGTGTTGCAATGAGGAGCACCCAGTGAATTGTCAACAATTAATTGAGCTGTTTCATCTGAAATGAGTTATTAGTTCATTTCTAGATGCAACGCATAGTGTCTTGCTCATGTCAGTATGCAACCAGGTGGATTGTCACTGTAGTCTGTGTTCTCCAGTTCCAATTTCAAAGTTGTTGGTAATTAGTCTTGAATCACATAGGTAATGCTCTCAGTGGAATCTTGCTCACAAGTAGGTATTTCATAGCCCAAAGCCACTAATGGCAGGGGATGCCAGCACAGTATTTGTACTGGTGTGTGACTCAGGCACTGTGTCTTTATGTGTAAGTGCAAGCAAGCAATGCTAATTGAGACTTGGCCATGACACACTCCAGACCTCCTATGCTCTGCTTTCGCATTTTAAAGACAGTTTCTGCATCCTGTGCTTGGTGTACAAGAGGTTGCAGTATACAATTCTTGGGGTTTTTTTTCTGTCATCTGTAGAAGAGACATCCTCCTGCACAGGGATTTAAGGCAGGCCACTTGATAAGTGGTAGGTCCTCTTACCTCTTTGTGTGTGGGCTCCTTTGGATTATCACTGTCCCTTCACTTCTTTACAGGGGAATGATAAGCATATGCCTGTCAGGGTGATTGGGAAGAAAACACATTCTTTCTCCATGATAAAATCACTTAATTTGGTTACAGGGCTTTGTGTTTCCTTTATTTTGATTACATGAAGGAAAAGGGCAACAAGGAGACTAGGGAATGGTGAAAGGAGAGGCTGGATGGCATTCCTTAGCCATCACTCATTCAGCAAAACTTTGGAGCATGAGCTTTTCATGTTAACGGTACTTCCCACCAGTTTAAAATACAGCGAGCAGGTTTTCTGCTGCGCCTGAGCTTGCAACGCTCAGCACCTTCAAGATCTGTCTCAGTTGTCCTTGAGAACGACCTGGGTTAGTAGGGTGGGATTATTCAGTCAGTGGTATTTTGGTTTTATTTTCCATTTTCCTTCTTGTACAAATGAAAGGAAGCTTTAATTAGGACAAAAAATCTCTCCCTGCTCCCATCCTTCATCCAGGATGTTGGATTTTCAAAGTTTATTTTAAGCATTTGAGGTAAGCATAGTGGGTTCAGATGAAATTATGTTAAAATGTTTTACCTTAAGTATTTTGAAAAGTAAAGAGAGCCATCAGGGACTTCTTGAAAAGACTCTTCTTTCATTTTATTTTTTTCTGCATGGCAGTTTCCTCCTTTGCATTGGCTGGTGGTGGGTATTTCAAGGATGTTTATATATTGGTGTGGAAATACATTTTTTTGGTTAAGGAATGTGTATTTTTATTGCTAGATAGTGCAACAGTACAAATATTAAATATTTCTTGTGTGCATTGCTAAAAGTGTTTGCCCAAAAGGTAATAAGACAACTTCTCTACAACCAGAATATTGACTGATTTGTTTGTTTGTTTTTCTTGAATAATTGGGCTACAATGCACAAATCATAGCCAAATATTTTTCGTGTGCTCTTTAAGAGTTGTCTTCATTGCAAACACCATAGCATTTGCATTCTTGGAGCATTCTGCTGCTGTAATATGTGTTTGATGCCTGTCTTCAGTGGGGTTACAGACTTTGCTTTGTTTTCTCTTTTAGGTTTTCACATCACATGATTCCTGGTCCTCCAGGCCCTCACACAACTGGAATCCCTCACCCAGCTATTGTAACACCTCAAGTAAAACAGGAACATCTGCACAACGACAGTGAGCTAATGCATGTGTGAGTCTGCCTTTCTGCTCTATAGCCCCTAATGAATAAATGTTTGAGAACTAACTCTATCTGAAGAAGAGTCAAGGATGCTTTAAAAAAGTGCATTTCATGACCTCTTTAAATTCTAACTCTTCTCCTATAACTAAAACAGGGACTGTGGGCTACTGTTTACTAAAGGTAATGAGAAGCCATTTTTCATTCCAGTCCAGCAATTTTAAGCTGTTGATAACAGCCATCTTGATTCAGTAATAATCATGGACCTGTCCAGTTGTGACTGGTGCTTGAGTGTGAACTCATGAACTTCTGCTGGAAAAGTTCTTACCTGCAGAATTCGCTAGTAAAAAGCAGTCTCATTGCTTAGTACTCAAAGGCAAAAGACCTAGGAAAGAAGAAGGTAAAGAAAATAGCTTCTTCATTAGAGGAAACTATTTTCCTGCCTGAAGCAGTGATTTTTTAGGGTACCATGGATAGCCTTTCAAAAAGAGAACTGACACACTTTTGGAGCAGATTCACAGATGAAATGTTACTTGATAGCAAATGTCAACCTGATGTCCTCCCTGAGTATTAAATTAAAAGATATGAAAGTGGATGGGACATGACCACTGAAATTCTCCTTCCTACTACTTGAGTGCTACTGTAACCAAAAGTTAGTAATTTTCCACTGTATCTTTTTAGGTTGAAGGCAAATTAATGCTTTTTATCCTTTCCTTTCCCTTTCCCAACCACGTTTTAGGAAGCCTCAGCATGAACAGAGAAAAGAACAAGAGCCAAAAAGACCTCATATTAAGAAACCTCTGAATGCTTTCATGTTGTACATGAAAGAAATGAGAGCAAATGTTGTAGCAGAGTGTACTCTGAAAGAAAGCGCAGCTATCAACCAGATCCTTGGCAGAAGGGTATGTACAGGAGTGTTTTGAGTGCTCACGTGTGCTGCTAATTTGTGTTTCCCTTTAGCTGGGTTACAGGTGATAACTGATGTGCAACTATCAAATTACCTGTAGAAGATAAAACATGCAACAAAAATAAAAGCAGTATCTTGATTTTCTTTTTTCAGCATTAGGAACGTCATCAAATTTGTGTTTGTTCCACCCACATTACGGTGTCAACATCTCAGACATGAAATACCCTGAGTCACACATAGAAGGAGCATTTAAGTCACATTCTGGGTCCTCCCTTAGGATGCTGTCCATCAGGGCAGGAAGGGATCATTCAAAAGATTAACACTGGATGCCTCTGGAGATGAAACTCAAAAGTGAAAATAACATGATCCAGTTGTAGTTGTGCAGGTTGGAAGGGACCCATAGAGGTTGTGTAGTCCAACATCTGCACAAAGCAGGTCCAGTTACATCAGGTTGCTCAGGAACCTTCCCAGCCACCTTCCACCAAGTTTTGAATGCCACTGAAGTCATCAGCCAAATTCTGATGATCTCAGTTCATGTACCAGAGCCTTACTGAGTGCTGTATGCTTCTGTGGCATTGTTAGTTGTGTTTTGTACTGTCCACATTCACAAAAAACCCTATGCAGGCCAACTCAGTACAGCCTTTCTGTTCTCTTGCCAGTGTTGTTCTTCCAAGGGAAGGCAGCAGATGTAAATGTTCATTCTGCAATTGACTCCCAGAAATGAGGAAAGGTGTGACTTTTGTATCAATCTGAGTTCGAGTAGGGATTATTCAAATTCCCGGTGAACACCTCCTTTTGATCACTGACCAAGGCAGTATTGAGGCACTGTGACTCTGAAAACCCTGTATTTTAAATGGGAAATTTATACATGACCTTAGAGTGCTCCTTTTATATTAGTTGGAAGACTTCCCCCTCCAAACAGAGCAGAAATCTACTGGTACTTGTCCTAGTTCATGTAGTCTTATGGTTTCTGTTGTTTTTGTTACCTCTCCTTAAAGGACATCTTGGTACTTGCCTTTTCCATGCTTTCATGCAAGCCTCTAGGATCTTGGAGTTGGACTTGATGATCCTTTAGAGTCCCTTTCAACTCACAGTATTCTGTGATCTGTGAACTACCCTTACAGGTGATGGCAATCCCCAGATGATTGATCTTAGTTGTGTCAGCCTTGTTTTCGTGGCCTGAACCAGGGCAGTGGCTTATTTAACTCTGTTTTGGTAAGGAATCAGACCGAGGGCTTTTTTGCCTGCATTTTTTTGCAGCTTGGACTCCTCTATTCAAGTTACTGTTCTCCATGAAAGTACCTCAAATTCCACTTTTCCTGTGATGCAAATGAGGCATGAGTTATCCAATTGCTTGGTCCTGGTCATTATTTACCCTGTGCTGTCCCAGGGGAGGAAACACCTCTGTTCTTATGAACTGACACTTTGCATGCTGCCAGGCTCCCTGATACCACAGCATTGGGCTCACCACCTTCCAGTTTTAGAATGTGCATGTGTAGTTTGAGAGCTGCAGACAGGCTGCACTGCTGTGCTCTCAATAACACATCCAACTTGCCAAGTCAAGGCAGACAAGAGCTTTAGTTCACATCCTCCAATGTGAACCAAACAACACATTAAATCATACAAATGTGATCTGATCTGAAATCTCAGTTCTGTATGTTAGTCTTGTATGAGTGTCTTAATGATTTCTTAATGATTGTTTGTCTTTTTGGATTGGGTTTTTGGATTTTTTTTAATCACTTCTTCTCCCCTTACTTCCCCATGGATGTTGTCAAACAAAAAGATGCATCTAATGCTGCAGCAGTGGAACTTAATTTGAAATAAGAGGCCTTTACTCTTCTTGGTTCGGGCCTATGATAGATGTTTCAACAAGAACAAAAGTACTAGATACTAATGTAGCTGGTACTTTCCAAATGTGCAGGTTGTGAGGGTTTTTTTTTGCCTTTTATTTTGCAGGCTGTTTTTATTTTTAAGTACATGAAACCAGGAAATTTATTCCCGCTTGGCTACAAAGGTCAACTCATGTAACTTGTAAGAATGTAGTTCTGTGATTTTTTTATCTGTGAAAATTTGGAGTTGCCATTTCCTTTTTCAGTCAGAAAGCAGTTACCTTAAAGTTCAATACTTAGAAGTTGATTTTTAGAAAAAGGGTGCTGGTGCACAAAAAGCCTTCTGTGTTGGCATTGAAAATTTGTATCTAGTTGCTGCTTGAAACCAAGACAGCAGACCCTTCTGTCACAGGGAGATTGCTGCCCTTTAAAAGCAGCACAAACTCCTTCTCAGTTCTATCAGGACCTAAAGGCTGTTTTTGTTGCTGTTTTTTTGTTGGGGTTTGCTTTTGTTTGTTTGTTGTTGGTTTTTTTAAGTAGTGTTGGGAGAGCACGGTTCAGTTAGCAGATTATTTGGTAAGCCATGTTTCCATAAATAATTTTGTCTTGCTCAAGGCACTTGGCAGTTGCAGAGCTGACAAATGTTTGAAAGTCATTAATAAACACAGGTGCTTGTAATTGCTAATGGATTTCATTTTTGCAGTGGGGAAGGACTGAATCAAAGTCACTAAAACACTTGCTCAAGTCATCTGTTGCCTAGGTATAAGTTAGTTCCTAGTCTAAAGGTGTGTTTATTTTGTTTGCAGTGGCATGCTCTCTCCCGTGAAGAACAAGCAAAATATTATGAACTAGCTCGTAAAGAAAGGCAGCTACACATGCAGCTTTATCCAGGCTGGTCTGCAAGAGACAACTATGTAAGTCACTCACTTGAAGGTTCTTTTAAAAAAAATCACTTTCTTTTTGTAACTTCTAAAATTATTATTGTTTCTTCTTTTTCTCAGTAACTTGGGGAAAGTTCTGGATGAAGGGATGGTAAACATACGTATAACATAAACCTTATATTTGTTTTCACTTCAAGCACCCAGAAAACTTAGGATTTTGTTGTTGTTGAGATGCTTGTTATGAAATTCACAGTTTTTGAGGGGAAAAAATAGCATGGAAAGTTTTTTTCCTAAGACAGTGGCCAATATTGTCTGGAAGCTCATGTTGTACTGTACAACTGTGAATTTTCCATCATTTTCTATCTGATCACTTATGCAGAAATGTTTCTCAGAGCTGAGAAAAAAGGGATGTCTTGCCTTCAGGAGAACTGGGTCTCAATGCAGATTGAACTGCAGCTGAAATTAAGTCAGAACAGTCCATTTGTGCAAATCTTGTATAAGTAACCTTCATGGTAGAGCCTGCTGTTATACATAGATATATGTATATGTTAAGAAGTTTTCTTACAGTTACTCCTGTTTGATAATTAAATATCAAATAGTCTGCACTGCATGGTTACACTCTGGTGCCTACAATGAGCTGTCAGTGTAGCCAGATATGATGATATCAAACTCAGAAGCTGCAGTCCTGAGAGACTGATGCTAACCTGAGATCTGAGCCTCCTCCTGTCCCTCTATTAGATGCGACACCATCCACTGGGATAGGAAATGTACGTGCTATATCTGGCTCAATTTTCTTTCTGCATTAGGGGGACAGTAGTTTTTCTCTACTTCAGTGATGTCTTTGGACATTAAGGATTGAGGTACTTAAACACAGTGTTAACAGAAACTGTAGAAACTGGCACAGTATGCATTGACACAGAAACTATGTGATTATCTCTGAAGGAAATGTCCTGGTCTTGCTGACATGCATGCCCAGTTTTGTAAGCACAGACACAACTGAAAGCCCTAGCAGCTTCTTTCTGTCTGTTTTATATGGCAAAAAACTGTCGTGACAGTACACAGGTAGAGTTTATTTCTAGTAGCCAGACCGTGTCAACAGCTGCCTTGAAATATAGTTGGGAACAAACAGGGTTTTAGGGAAAGACTCCCTGGAAACAAGGGGGTGTAGCTTGTCCCAAATTTACTTGCTAGAAAATCACACCACTTTGGAGTCTTGTCAGCTTGTGCTTACTGGACATCAAGCTTCAAGATGGTCCTGTGATGTTTGGTCATGTTGGCTTTGAGAGCCCTGTGTTCTGCCCCAGCCTATGCCACACAGCACAAGCAGTGGACCTGCGGTTTCTTAAATGCCTTGACAGACATTTGGAGTGTGTGAGGTGGCACGTATGAGTTACCTCTTTGATGTGCTTCCAGCCTACATCCTGTGTGGAAGTATAGCTCTGACATACTCCAGTCCTGTATGCTACAATGAAGAACTCTGCTAGCTTCCTCTTGCAGCCCTCCCCTCTGCCTCTCCAGGAATGCACATGTTCTGCAGTGGTGGTCAATCAGTGGTCATAGGAGAGCACCGTTTATCACTGAAAACTTTTCAGATATATGGCTTTTTTTTTTTTTTTTTTCCTGTTCGGTTTTCCTAACTTAAGCAGCCAAAAAGTGAAATAATTTTCACTTTTTGACTGCTTAAGTCAAAAAGTAATTATTTAGCACAGGTATTACTCCACTATTTTGAGGGTTGGAAGTGACTTAGGGGTGGTTCTTCTGTTTCACAAAATGGTGCAAGTAAAAAATGCATACTGTTTGGTTTTAGTTCTTCTATATTGGTTTGCCTGGTTATTCCAGATTTTAGGAATTTGCAGAAAATGTTAAACATTGTTATTCAACTGTTGAAACTATCTTTTTCATATGTTATTATTCCTGATACCCAAAGCAGTCATGCAAAATTGTGTGAGACATAAGAAGCACAATGTTTTCACAATGTGAGGGTCTATGTGTGCTGCAGTTGTCAGAAAATATTTTACTTGGGAATGCTGACAATTCGTTTTCAGCCCAGTCTTCTGTTTGTTCACGTGTCTTATCTCATAGGTAGATCTCAGATCAGCTTTCAGTTTATGTTTTAGCACTTGAAGTCAAACTGACATAGAGAATAAAACAAATTTTCCTCCCATTACTTTTCCATGTTAACATCTGCATGAATGCACTTTCCTCTCTAAAAAAGTACTGCCTTGGTGCCTAAGTGATAAAACATATTGCTAGGGGTTCCCCAGAGCCCTTGGAATGTGTTTTCCAATTTCTAGTCTCACAGGCAACTTCTAGTGCTCACAAGGCATTGCCCAGCCCTGTTGCCAGCCTTGGGATAAATAAGGACAGGAGCTTGAGAGTCAGGCAGGCCCAGACTGTCAGAGCAGAGTGGAGGCTACTTAAGTCCATGTGCTGGAGCTTCACTGCAGCCTGTATTTGGAGTCCTCCCTTGCTGTCTGTCACTCAGTGAGCACTGCAGGGGTTTGAGGTGGTTTCTCATATCACCCACTGTCCATCCCTGCACCTTGCAGGTCCAGCTCATAGAAAGATGTGTCCCATCACCTCAGCCTTTCCCCTCTGAGGCCACTGTGTATGTGGCATGCTCTGTGCTGAGACATGCAGCTGCCAGCCATGAGAATGGGGGGCCAGAGGATGGGCAGCAGGCTGCAGCCCTGCTCACAGAAACTGCACAGCCTTTGCCAGAACTCATCTCTTGCAGCCTGTCTGGAAGCTTCTTTAAAATATAAACGGATATGATTTTTCCTTAAAACACACACAAAAAACTTTCACTGATTATAGAGGGCAATAAAGACAAGACATATGGAGGAATATCAGTGGTAGTTAGGGTGATGCAAGATGATTGAGGTTTAAAATTGTGGGTCTAAGCTGACCTTTCGTTTCAGTTGACAGACTGTGTGAAGCAGGAGCTGTGGCCACTTCCATAGATGGGGTGCAGAAGAAGGCTGAGTGTGTAGGTTGGCAGGCTGTGGCCAGTGTGGTCTCTCAAAAAGACAGCTGCCAGGCATTCGAGTTCTGCACTTCAGCCATGTTAAGGGTGCTCTGCTGTACAGTCCCTGCTGTTTGGTTATTGCAGAGTGTGCTCTCCAGGCACAGCCACACCAGACTTGGCTTTTGTTCAGGTACCAGCATTATCAGAATGGTTTTAGTTGGCTGGTTTGCACCCTGGGGACAAGTCATGGTTGTCCTAGGTACTTTCAACACCCTGTCTGCTCCTACCATGTATGACAGTGTAAGTATTTGAATGTGTGAAGAGTTCTTATAAGAGCCATAAATTATGATATCAACATACGTGTCATCAGATTATTGAGCGTAAGAAGTCTTTTCAGTGCTTGCGGCTGCCAGTGTTACTTGAAAAACTGCCAGAAATCGTAATTCCATGTGGATATAAATACATGTATTGCTGATGTGCATATTTCTCCATAGATGCTCAGAGCAAACTTTGTTACCATTGAACTAGTTAAAAGTGGGATAGAAAAGCTACCCTGAAAATAATTGGGTGTTTCCCTCTAACATTTTCAGTGTCCAGATGACTTTTGCTGTGAGGTAAGTGACAAAAAAGAAGTTCTGTGAATGTAATGGCATGATAAAATTTCCTATTTTCCAGGGGAAGAAAAAGAAGAGGAAGAGAGAAAAGTTGCAGGAATCGGCATCAGGTAGGCCATGAACACCTCTTACTTGCCATTCACCTCAGGTCTATTTTAGAAACCAGGGCTTGCGCTATTTAATTTTTACGAGCTTTTGTCTAACCCTTGCTTCTGATGGATGTTTTAAGATATTTCACTTGGAATGTAAGCTTGTGAACATGCACACAACTCCTGCCTCCTTTCCCTTACACCTTTCTGAGCAGCAGTCCTGATGGCATCAACATCTTTGGCTGAACTTACGCATTGCTGCAATCACTGTCCTGTTTTGCCTTTGCTTTTTTCCTCAATCCATGTTGTATCATCTTTAGACTTAACTATGTCTCAGATACTTGTGTGGTATTTTTGGGCACTGGAAACTTTACACAGACCTTTTGTAGTAACTGTATTTTATCTCACTGTATTTTACATTTCTTTGTACACTAACAGCTGCTAGTAGGTTGGCTAAAAGCATCAGTGAGGTCTCCTCGTTGCCTTTAAAATATATATAAAGAAACACCCTGTTTTCCCCAATACAAAATGGCTGGTATAAGAACCATAAAAAAACCCAAACAACGAAACCAAAAAACACAAAAAAATTCCATGTAACACTGTAGCAAACAAACTTACTTGGAATGTGCAAAAACTCTGTAACAGAAATTTGTTAAAGGAAAACAATCTTCTACAGGTACAGGCCCCAGAATGACAGCTGCCTACATCTGAAGCATGGTAAGAACATCTCTAAAGCTTTCCTGCTGATAAAACTGAATTGTAAAATAAGCCTTCTTATAAATTTTATGCAAGAATATGAATTTAGCAAAAATTGCAGAACTATCATATCCCAAAGCTAATGTTACTTTGATTACTGATGGTTTTTATACCGGCTATCTATTAGGAGTTCACCATTTCACTGCTTAACCATAATATTTTCAAATTGATCACACCTCACTGACTCACTGCAAGTCTGCCTGTGAACCAGGGATGGGTTTATTAAGTGATGCAAGCCCTCCCAAACTGTCACAGCTCATAAGAGCAGGGTAGATGCTGGCTTTGAAACACATTTTATGTCCTGACATCAATAAGATTCTGCCTGGCTGGGTACACCTTTAAAAAAAATTCATTCACCTGTATACTAACAAAACACCTGCTAAGAAAATGGGACTGTATTTCAGTTGTTTCAAGAATTTCTCCCACAGCTGTACCGTGGTATTTCATGTGTGGTGCAGGTTGGGGTTTTTTGTGGTTGTATTTCCAGCATGTGTTTTCTTTCTTTATATCATATTACCTGCACTGAGGGTGGAATGATTAGTGGTTACACATGTGCAATAATACCATCTAGTCAGCTTGTGAGTGCACACAGTACCACAGTGAGATGCTAATTTCTCAGTGTCTGTGTTGGAAGGCTGGTTCTTGTCTTTCTCTCAGTGTGATGTATTTTCTAGTAAGAAAGGCATTAATTTGAAATAATAGTTGCTTCTAAACTGTCTAATTGTACTTGGGAGAGCCCCAAGAATTCCAAGAATCATGCAAAAAAAAAAACCAAAAACACAAAAAACACCTTGAAAATCACCTATGCACTGTATCAGAAATGGGCTCTGTCCTCTCTTCCTCTGCCTTGTTTGGCCACTGTGGCACTCAAGAGTAGTCAGCAAACAGTCCTGTTGGCCCTCTGCTCTGCTTGGACTTTAAGCCTGAGAAAGCCAACTTCACTTTCCTCTGTGCCGTGTCAGTCAGCAGTCAGCATGATTCAGGCCTCTTCTGAAGTTATGCCATTATGCTGGTTAGTCTAAACTTGGTTAAGACAGGACTTTGGTGGTTTGTTTGTTGGGTTTTCTTAAAGCTGAAGTAGAGTGAAAAGGCAAAATGTGTGCTCTTTTTTCTTAGTAATAAGCAGAAGCTTTTCAGGCAAGCAGGCAGCCTTGCTCTTTGCAATGTGCCTGAGTCATGCTGATTTGAGATGTGGATTGCAGTGTTGGGGTTCTGTAGCCTGTACAACAAATGTAGCTGTAAAATATCATGACTTAGAGCATTATACCTACTGAAAAAGAAAGTGCTTTAACGTTGAGTTTTATAATTGATATTTTAGTTTAGTTGTCCAGGTCCATGACTGGTGTGAATATTTTTCACTTTGATCCTAACACAGTACCAGTAGGCAAAATACGCATAATTTTATCTGAACTCATGCAGAGCACTTGATTAGGATTGGAATACAACTAAGGTTCAAGTGACAGCATAAAAACAGGGAATATTTTGTTTCTTGGATGCCTTACAGTCTTGCCTATGCTGACCTACTTTTGTTGGAGTTTCTCTGCATTTTCTGTATTACAGGTTGAATGTTCTGAGTGTGGGTTTTTTTTCTCTCCCTTTGACCTTTACACTCCTGCCTTCTTGTGTGCTCTTAGGCTTTGAACAGTGTGGAAACAGTTGGCAATATCTGTCTCTCTATCTTCAGGCAATTTGTAACAGAGAGTCTGAGAACAGTAGTGTATGTTCTTCAGGGAAGTGTGCTGTTGAGTCCATATATGAATGTGAAGGCAGCCTCACTAAGTGTTTCATGCTGAGTGAATGATCTGCACTGGAGATGTACAGATGTGCTCTTCCTGAAAGTAGATGCACAGAACGATTTAGGGAACCTTAATCAACCAGACTTCAAAGCAAACTTCTGAAGGTTAAGACTCTTGCCCTCTGCAAGCCTAATCCAAAGAATGTTTTGCCCACAAGCATAATATCTTACCAGGCCCACAGCAGAGCTGTTGTAGTCTTTACTGGATGGAGATAATAAGTTTGGGAATAGTTTTCTTACTTGCATGGATGTTGTAAGGAAGAGGAAGAAGGAGGGTGGGAGGTCTGGGAAGGAGACAAGCGTTCTGTTATCTGAGAAGAATCAGAAATGAGTAGGTGGCAAGACCAAAGAAAGAATCTCAAGATCAGCACAAAGGAGATCAGCCAGGGCTGTAATTACAGTGATGTAAGTGAGAAGGATGAAATGGTGGGAGGGTTGTGTGGTGGGATGTTCAGAGGAAAGTAACGGAAGAGACATACAAACAGACATGATTTAAGATACTGTGAAAGTTTTGGGTGTGGGGTTTTTGTTGTTTTGGGTTTTTTTTTGTCCTTGAACAATCACCCAGTAATTGATTTTTAAGGTGGACCTGTAGTCCTGCTTTTTGACTTGAACATAATTAGAGCGGTAAACTCAAGGTTGATAGCATTAAGTTGCCCCTTTTCCAAGAGTTGTACACAGCAGGAGGCATCTTATGGCTTCACTTCTTAGGATTTAACTGAGTTCTGTAATCTCCAATCTACTGAATGGCCAATTTGTAAAACACTTCAGAGTGCTCTAGGAATACTGTGACCCTCTGTATGTCTTTGCTATATTTTCCTGGGTTACTCCAAAGAGTGTCCTCAAGAGTTGTGGAACTGTCCCAGGAAGGATTTTGTTTGCAGTTGGCATGGCCCAACACACTGTTTGAAATAACTGTGATTTATTGAAAAAATAACTCTTATTTATTCTCTTCTTTTGAAATTAACCAAGAGTGGAATTAAACCTAATAGTGCTAATAATAAATTGAGGCAAGGCCAGGGAGGGAAGGGGAAATGAGGAAAGCTAAGATAAAGGACAATGTAGAGATCACCCATTGAGCACCTTTCTGAAAGATGTTTTTTTTACTTTAAGCACAGCCTTCTAGGTGATTTGTAAATAGGACCAATTCTGTCTTGGAAGTGGAGATTTCTAATTTCCTATCAAATCTGACTTTTGGAAGAAAAAAGAAAGGTGATTTTTAACATCTCTTGAGTATTTGAAATCAGTAAGGGAATAGAAGGGTACTAACAAAAATTCCTCTTCGTTCTGCAGCATGGAAATACTTAATTTCTTATGGCTTGTTCTGTACAGAACTCTAAAAGGCATATCATTCAACATATGGCAGGATGGAATTGGGAAACTACATAATGTAATATTGTGTTTTGGCATATCTTCAAGGGCTAAAAAGAGTGATAGAGGAGCTTAATAGACATCTGAAAACCTGTGAGAAGTTTATTTGTGACTTGCAAAATTCCATGACAATTATCATCTACATTAGCAAAGCTTTCAAAACCAAAAAAACTTAACTAATACTGATTTGAAATCAGAAGTACTTAAAAGGATCAGATTAAGACCATTTAACTTTGAACAATGAATTATCTTAGCATTTTAAACTTCCTATGTGGAAATTGGAGCCAAATTTCAGCACAGAAGTGATTTTTAGGCAGTAATTTATGACTGGATTATGTTTTTCCTATTACATAAAATTAAAAAGGAGTGAGGCTGTGAAAGCAGACTATAAAGTGGACCAGTCCACAGCCAGAATAGTGTGGAAAATAAGTGTCTGATGACTGTGGTCATGGGTTTCTGGCCAGCATCTGAGAAAACAAGATGCAAAGAGGATGTGGTACCTTCCTTTCTGAGGCTTGTTTTCAAACCTGGGTTTTCCAGTGCTCTTGAAATTGCTCCTGGAGTAGTTCAAATTGAAACAAATGCTCCACCCTTTCCCATAGTTCTTGACTGCTCAGAAGCTTTAAACAGTGGAAGAGAACTTGCACAGAAGTTAGTCTCTGTGAGAATGTGTGTGGTGATAGTGGTGCAGAAATTTGTCCTAGTTTGCTTTAAAAACTGTTTCCTGTGTGACCCATACTTCCCTATTCCCCATTTTGCCCATGAATAGTGGCCTTCAGCACAGGCGAGAAGGACAGAATAAGCAGAAGAAAATTTTCTGGATTAAAATATTTGTATTATTTCACATAGGCATAAAATTTCCATAGAAAAATTTTGTAGCCCTCAGACAGATCATGGTTAGGACTGAAAGGGACCTTAAAAATCATCTTGTTCCAATGCCCCCCTGCCATAGCCAGGGACACCTTCCACTACACCAGGTTATTCAAAGCCTCATCAAACTTGGCCTTGAACACTTCCAGAGATGGGGCAGCTTCCCTGGGCCTCACCACCCTCACATTAAAGAATTTTCTTTGTAATATCCAATCTAAACCTATCCTCT